CAACAGCTTCTACCCCCAAGCCATAAGACTCCTGAACAGCTAATCATGGCTACCCGGACTATTTGCACTGCCCCCCCACCCCATCCTTTTTACGCTGCTGCTACTCTGTTAAGTATTTATGCATAGTCACTTTAACTCTACCCACATGTACATATTACCTCAACTAGCCGGTGCCCCCGCACATTGACTATGCAACGGTACCCCCCTGTATATATAGCCTCCCTACTGTCACTTTATTCTATTGTATATATAGCCTCCCTACTGTCACTTTATTTTTTACTTCTGCTCTTTTTTTCTCAACACTTTTTTGTTGTTTTATTCTTACTTTTTTTGTTTAAAATAAATGCACTGTTGGTTAAGGGCTGTAAGTAAGCATTTCACTGTAATGTCTGCACCTGTTGTATTCGGCGCATGTGACCAATAAAATTTGATTTGATTTGATTTGATTTGATTTGATGCAGCTAGTCAAGATGCTCTCAATGGTGCAGCTGTATAACTTTTTGAGGATCTGAGGGCCCATGCCAAATCTTTTCAGCCCCCTGAGGTTGGAAGGGTCATTGTCATTCCCTCTTCATGACTGTGTTGATGTGTGTGGAACATGATAGATCCTTAGTGATGTGGACACTCCACTTCGGTCCTCCATTTCCTGTAGTCCACAATCAGCTCCTTTGTCTTGCTGACGTTGAGGGAGAGGTTGATGTCCTGGCACCACACTACCAGGTCTCTGACTTCCTCCCTATAGGCTGTTTCATCGTCATCGGTTATCAGGCCTAACACCGTTGTGTCGTCGGCAAACTTAATGATGGTGTTGGAGTCGTGCATGGTCACGCAGTCGTGGATGAACAGGGAGTACAGGAGGGGATTAAGCACGCCCCCTGAGGGGCCCCTGTGTTGAGGGACAGCGTGGCAGGTGTGTTGTTGCCTTCCCTACCACCTGGGGGCGTCCTGTCAGGAAGTCCAGGATCCTGTATCAGAAGGAGGTGTTCAGTCCCAGGGTCCTTAGCTCAGTGATGAGCTTGGAAGGCACTATGATGTTGAACGCTGAGCTGTAGACAATGAACAGCATTCTCACGTAGGTATTCCTTGGGTCCAAGTGGGAAAGGACAGTGTGGAGTGCAATAGAGATTGCGTCATCTGTGGATCTGTTGGGGTGGTATGCACATTGAAGTGGGTCCAGGGTGTCTGGGATGATGGTGTTGATATGAGCCATGACCAGCCTTTCAAAGTATTGCATGGCTACAGATGTGAGTGCTACAGGGCGATAGTCATTTAGACAGGCTACCTTGCCATTCTTGGGCACAGGGACTATGGTGCTCTGCTTGAGACATGTAGGTATAACACACTGGGTCAGGGAGAGGTTGAAAATGTCAGTGAAGGCACTTGCCAGCTGGTCAGTGCATGCTCTGAGTACGCGTCCTGGTAATTCGTCTGGCCCTGCGGCTTTGTGAAAGTTAACCTGTTTAAAGGTCTTACTCAAATCGGCTACGGAGAGCGTGATCAGACAGTCGTCCGGAACAGCTGGTGCTCTTACGCATGGTCCAGTGTTGCTTTCCTCGAAGCGAGCATAGAAGGCATTTAGCTCGTCTGGTAGGCTCGCGTTACTTGGCAGCTCACGGCTTTTGCAAGCCATGCCACATCCGACAAGTGTCAAATACTTCGCCTGCATCAACATGTCTTTGATCTTGGGCCAGGGGTTGAAGCATGTTTTCACTTTTCCTGTACGTCTATGGTACCGTCTGACAACCTTGGCAGTACAGAGTGGAAACTTTGCTGCATGTCTGCACAGTGCTTAGAAAAAACACATACCTCACCACCTTCTATGTAATATACAGCATTAAGGGGGAGGGCTGAGGTAATGCAGAGAAAGGAATGACACAAAATAAATTCCCTCCAACATCGTAAAAACTAGGGGTATTTCAAAGTGAAACCAAAAAGACAAAAAGTTGAGCAAAAATAATACATCTTTATTTAAACTGCTGTAATTTCAAAATTAAAAGGGACAGGAGTGGACAGTCTCTTTTGATTTTTTTTATTAGTTCACTCATACAGTCTGACAGATCAGAGCCTCATAGAATTAACATAGTTAACATAGATTTAACCCAACAATTAAAATGGACTTACACATTGTTTAGGTTGTAAAAACAACAACCTACAGTGAGGGAAAAAAGTATTTGATCCCCTGCTGATTTTGTACGTTTGCCCACTGACAAAGACATGATCAGTCTATAATTTTAATGGTAGGTTTATTTGAACAGTGAGAGACAGAATAACAACAACAAAATTCAGAAAAACGCATGTAAAAAATGTTATAAATTGATTTGCATTTTAATGAGGGAAATAAGTATTTGACCCCTCTGCAAAACATGACTTAGTACTTGGTGGCAAAACCCTTGTTGGCAATCACAGAGGCCAGACGTTTCTTGTAGTTGGCCACCAGGTTTGCACACATCTCAGGAGGGATTTTGTCCCACTCCTCTTTGCAGATCTTCTCCAAGATTAAGGTTTCGAGGCTGATGTTTGGCAACTCGAACCTTCAGCTCCCTCCACAGATTTTCTATGGGATTAAGGTCTGGAGACTGGCTAGGCCACTCCAGGACCTTAATGTGCTTCTTCTTGAGCCACTCCTTTGTTGCCTTGGCCGTGTGTTTTGGGTCAATGTCATGCTGGAATACCCATCCACGACCCATTTTTTTCAATGCCCTGGCTGAGGGAAGGAGGTTCTCACCCAAGATTTGACGGTACATGGCCCTGTCCATCGTCCCTTTGATGCGGTGAAGTTGTCCTGTCGCTTAGCAGAAAAACACCCCCAAAGCATAATGTTTCCACCTCCATGTTTGACGGTGGGGATGGTGTTCTTGGTGTCATAGGCAGCATTCCTCCTCCTCCAAACACGGCGAGTTGAGTTGATGCCAAAGAGCTCCATTTTGGTCTCATGTGACCACAACACTTTCACCCAGTTCTCCTCTGAATCATTCAGATGTTCATTGGCAAACTTCAGACGGGCATGCATATGTACATTCTTGAGCAGGGGGACGTTGCGGGCGCTGCAGGATTTCAGTCCTTCACGGCATAGTGTGTTACCAATTGTTTTATTGATGACTATGGTCCCAGCTGCCTTGAGATCATTGACAAGATCCTCCCGTGTAGTTCTGGGCTGATTCCTCACCGTTCTCATGATCATTGCAACTCCACGAGCTGAGATCTTGCATGGAGCCCCAGGCCAAGGGATATTGACAGTTCTTTTGTGTTTCTTCCATTTGCGAATAATCGCACCAACTGTTGTCACCTTCTCACCAAGCTGCTTGGCGATGGTCTTGTAGCCCATTCCAGCCTTGTGTAGGTCTACAATCTTGTCCCTGACATCCTTGGAGAGCTCTTTGGTCTTGGCCATGGTGGAGAGTTTGGAATCTGATTGATTGCTTCTGTGGAGAGGTGTCTTTTATACAGTTAACAAGCTGAGATTAGGAGTACTCCCTTTAAGAGTGTGCTCCTAATCTCAGTTTGTTACCTGTATAAAAGAGACCTGTCTCTCACTGTTCAAATAAACCTACCATTAAAATTATAGACTGATCATTTCTTTGTCAGTGGGCAAACGTACAAAATCAGCAGGGGATCAAATACTTTTTTCCCTCACTGTATGTGCCCAGTCATGGCTTTTCTCCCATCAGTCCACAGTAAAAATCTTTACTAAACAAAAATATAAACGCAACATGCAACAATTTCTAAAATTTTACTGAGTTACAGTTCATATGAGGAAATCAGTCAATTGAAATAAATAAATTAGGCCCAAATCTATGGATTTCACATGACTGGGAATACAGATATGCATCTGTTGGTCACAGATACCTTTAAAAAAATGGGCCTCACAATGGGCCTCAGGATCTCTTCACGGTATCTCTGTGCATTCAAATTGCAAACCGCTCGCCCACACGACGCCATACACGTGGTCTGCGGTTGTGAGGCCTGTTGGACGTACTGGCAAACTCTCTAAAACGACATTGGAGGCGGCTTATGGTAGTGAAATAAAAATTTAATTTTCTGGCAACAGCTCTGGTGGACATTCCTGCAGTCAGCATGTCAATTGCACGCTCCCTCAAAACTTGAGACATCTGTGGCATTGTGTTGTGTGACAAAACTGCACATTTTACAGTGGCCTTTTATTGTCCCCAGCACAAAGAGCACCTGTGTAATCATCATGCAGTTTAATCAGCTTCTTGATATGCCACATCTGTCAGGTGGATGGATTATCTTGATAAAGGAGAAATGCTCACTAACAGGGATGTAAACAAATTTGTGCACAAAATTTGACAGGAATAAGCTTTTTGTGTGTATGGAACATTTCTGGGATATTTTATTTCAGCTCATGAAACATGGGACCAACCTTTTGCATGTTGAGTTTATATTTTTGTTCAGTGTATATATTCAAACCTTACTGGATCATCTTCAAAATCAAGGCAAGAAACTCAACAATAATAAATAAAAAGAGCCCTTTAGAAAAATAGATATAGAGAACACAACCAGGAAACAGACTGAATTTATAAATAAGTAGTCAGTATAGACAATGTATATTATTAGGAAAGGGGTGACTAATAAAATAAAGATAATTACTAGTCTGGTTGATCCATAACTTAACCTGAAGCCCAATGCCAGACGAATACAAAGGCCCTTGACTTCACTAAAATCATTAGTGTGTTTCCTTTCAAATTGAGATTAAGATAAACAAGAGGTCAACTTCTGAATAAAAAAATCTAAGTAAGACACAGGGAATAGGATTTAATGATCAGTACTGACATCCTGTCAACTCAGTCTTTAGGGGATCCTTGATAAGAGGTTTCTGTAGTCTTTCATCTTGATTCACCTTGTCAGTCTCTGTCATGGAAAGAGCAAGTGTCCTTAATGTTTTGTACATTCAGTGCATGTAGAGAGTGAATTTCCCATGTTCCTATGGGCCTGGTTTTGGAAGAGCAGGGCAGGGCGAGGGCAGGGGACTGGAAGATCCATCAGGCCAGCTGCAGGAAGGTTAAGAGCTGGGGCACCACGAAGAGAGCGTTGAAGCCCACCGTGCCGTACATGATGTACCTGTAGGGCAGCTCCACCTCCATGTGCTGCCAGGCCTTCCTCACGTCTCCACTTAGGATGCCTGAGATACGGCAGGCCAGATGTATGATGATGACCTTCATGAGGGCCCTGTTGGCCAGCAACACCAGCATGCCCAGGCAGAACCTCAGCATTGCCACAGCCAGCAGGGCGGTCCTGAGGGCCAGTGTGGACAGGGGAAGCTGGTCCAGCGGGGGGTCAGGCATCTGGCCCAGGTAGTGGTTGAGGTGGGAGGCCAAGGCCACGCCAGCGCCGGTGCCCAGGATCTGAGTGGTGTTGCCCCGCGGGGTGCTCCAGGTGTCCAGGGTGAAGGAGAAGAGGCCCATTCCCAGGTGCAGGGAGATGATGATGAGGGGGGCGTAGCAGTACTTCAGGTTGAAGTTATCGATCAGGTCCAGTGCCGGCTGGAACACCTTTTTTTTCCCGTTGACAGATTCTTTTTTTTTTTTTTTCGTAATTCCACAATAGAGGAAGACGTTTGTTGACAGAAAGTGGTGGGGTGACATGTTGTGCAGAAACATAATTGGCTGAGGAGAACAACCCATCAGGACAGTGAGCTCTTGCCGCTGAGCAGAATCAGGCCAAGGGTCATGAAGCAAGCTATAGTATTTAACAAGCAGAAAAATGACACAAATACTGTCCTGCGCTCATGTGTATTTGGGTGACGTTCCAGATCACTTCACCATTTGGTGTGAGATTCCATGGAGGCCACAGAACAAGGACTATGCACACCAACAGCCTTGTGTGACTCATGTCCAATAAAACCCCAGCTCATTCTCTATAGTGATTATTTTCCTGGGAAAGAATGAGAACGGTATGAACAGGGTCCAACTACATGTAGGTTAAAGCTATAATTCTTAGTTGCTACATCCATTTTTGGACTTATAAATGAATTATATATACCCATTGATTCATGAAGAATATAACTTATAAATACCTCATGTACTTAGTTCAACTGTTGTACCCCATCAGAACCCAAAAATGTAAGCTTGTAAACAACGTAAATGTAAACAAACACTGTATAGCCTCAAAACATGGTTAACACTATACATTTGATATCATGGATGGTCAGTCCTTGCATCCATAGCTCTGTCTGTGAATTTCAGAGTTTTACATTTCTCCAGCCCCATTCCTTAAGATTTTTAGCAAAACAGGGGTGGTTAGTAAGCTTTGTTATTGTTTCAATTAAGGATTCTAGCTATAAGGGACATTTGTGTGAGTCAGTGTTATTATCGATGTTTGATCTTCACTTTCACCATGGTGAAACACCTCTCATCTAGCTATGGCTCAGTAACCAGGACAGTTAACTATTTATACTCCAACATGCCAGAGATCCCCTCACCCCTCCCCCTCTCTCCATGCTGTCAGAAAACCAAACTCTGCATTCCACAGTAAGAACATCATACCAAAGGTCAAGCATGGTGGTGGTGGTGTGAGGGGATCTCTGGCATAGCTCCTGAGTGGCGCAGTGGTCTAAGGCACTGCATCGCAGTGCTAACTGTGCCACTAGAGATCCTGGTTCGAATCCAGGCTCTGTCGCAGCCGGCCGCGACCGGGAGACTCATGGGCGGCGCACAATTGGCCCAGCGTCGTCCAGGGTAGGGGAGGGAATGGCCGGCAGGGATGTAGCTCAGTTGATAGAGCATGGCGTTTGCAACGCCAGGGTTGTGGGTTCGATTCCCACGGGGGGCCAGTATAAAAAGATATGTATTCACTAACTGTAAGTCGCTCTGGATAAGAGCGTCTGCTAAATGACTAAAAAATGTAAAAAAAAAATGGTTTGGGGATGCTTTGCTGCCTCAGGACCTGGACGACTTGCCTTAATAGAAGGAACCATGAATTCTGCTCTGTATCAGAGAATTCTACAGGAGAATGTCAGACCATCCGTCTGTGAGCTGAAGCTGAAGCGCAGCTGGGTCATGCAGCAAGACAATGATCCAAAACACACAATCAAGTCTACATGAAAATTGCTAAAAAGCAACAAATTGAAAGTTTTGGAATGGCCTAGTCAAAGTCCAGACCTAATCCCAATTGAGATGTTGTGGCAGGACTTGAAACGAGCAGTTCATGCTTGAAAACCCACACGTCACTGAGTTAAAGCAGTTCTGCATGGAAGAGTGGGCCAAAATTCCTCCACAGCGACGTGAGAGACTGATCAACAACTACAGGAAGCATTTGGTTGGAGTCATTGCAGCTAAAGGTGGCACAACCAGTTATTGAGTGTAAGGGGGCAATTACTTTTTCACACAGGGGAATTGGGTGTTGCATAACTTTGTTTATGAAATAAATATGTAATTGATGTGTTATTTGTTCACTTATGTTCCCTTTATCTAATATTAGGTTTTGGTTGAAGATCTGATAACATTCACTATCACAAATATGCAAAAGTAGAGAAAATTAGAAAGGGGGCAAATACTTTTTCATAGCACTGTAAGTATTCAGACCCTTTACTCAGTACTTTGTTAAAGCAGCTTTGGCAGCAATTACAGCCTCAAGTCTTCTTGTGTATGACCATCGGGTTCTTGGTCACCTCCCTGACCAAGGCCCTTCTCCCCCGATTGCTCAGTTTGGCCGGGTGGCCAACTCTAGGAAGAGTCTTGGTGGTTCCAAACTTCTTCCATTTAAGAATGATGGAGGCCACCGTGTTCTTGGGGACCTTCAATGCTGCAGAACTTTTTTGGTACCCATCCCCAGATCTGTGCCTCGACACAATCCTGTCTCGGAGCTCTACGGACAATTCCTTCAACCTCATGGCTTGGTTTTTGCTCTGACATGCACTGTCAACTGTGGGAACTTATATAGACAGGCATGTGCCTTTCCAAATCATGTCCAATCAATTGAGTTTACCACAGGTGGACTCCAATCATGTTGTAGAAACATCTCAAGGATGATCAAAGGAAACAGGATGGACCTGAGCTCAATTTTGAGTCTCATAGTAAAGGGTCTGAATACTTATGTAACATTTCTAAAAACCTGTTTTTGCTTCGTCATTATGGGGCATTGTGTGTAGATTGAGGGAAAAAATGAATTTAATCCATTTTAGAATAAGGCTGTAACGTAACAAAGTGGAAAAATTCAAGGGGTCTGAATACTTTCCGAATGCATTGTATAACTAGGAATAAAGTGCCAGATAGTAAACAGTAGCAGCAGCGTATGTGTTGAGTCAAAAGAGTTATTGCAAAAACAGTCAATGTAGATAGTCCGGGTAGCTATTGGTTAACTATTTAACTAACGATTTTGTATTATTAGGGCTTTGTGGGCAGAAACTGTTCAGGGTCCTGTTGGTTCCAGACTTGGTGCATCGGTACCATTTGCCATGCGGTAGCAGAGAGAACAGTCTATGACTTGGGTGGCTGGAGTCTTTGACAATTTTTAGGGCCTTTCTCTGACACCGCCTTGTATAGAGATCCTGGATGGCAGGGAGCTTGGCCCCAGTGATGAACTGGGCCGTACGCACTACCCTCTGTAGTGCCTTGCGGTCGGATACCAAGCAGTTGCCATTCCAAGCGGTGATGCAGCCAGTCCAGATGCTCTCAATGGTGCAGCTGTAGAATTTGTTGATGATCTGAGGGCCCATGCCAAATATTTTCAACCTCCTGAGGGTGAAGAGGTGTTGTCGTGCCCTCTTCATGGCTGTGTTGGTGTGTTTGGACTGTTCCGACCAGCAAAATAAAGTTCTTAACCGTTTCGAACCCCCAAAAAGTACTGGTTTATATAATTCCTTTCTGTTCCTTTTTTAACCTGTGAAATCAACAGTTTTTTACATTTAGCTCATTAAATTACTTCACCAATCAGTGTGGATAGAGCAGGCAAGCTAGTTGATTAGATGCGTGATGTATTACATTTTGGAACATTCCTGCTTATAGCCTACTGCCGTGTGCGCATTTCTGTGCTTATAATGTGAAGAAATAGCCTAATAGTTTATCAACATTTTAAGCTAAATGTTCTGATCTGCTGCGTCAGCCTCAGGTTTTTTGATGCTAGTGGTTGTATTAATTTGGGATCTATCGCATCGCACAACTGTCCAAGACTATGTTTGGAATATTTATTTCTCGCACAGAATAGAATAGGTCAAGTTTTTGAGGGGATAATAGATTGACATAGGCTAGTGCTTTTGCTGTTCGTTAGGCCTACTCCTCTTGTTGGCTGACGAAAAGTAAACGTAGACAGTTCTTCGAACATCTTCAATATGCGCCTCGGAATTCGATAAGGACGCGCGCAGTTGCGTCCCCGATGTGTCTGTCTTCAATTATAGCCTGTGAGAAGGACCGATCACGTAACAGGCATTGACTAATAAGAATTGAGATATCTGAGAGAGCCATGTTAGTGAAAGGTGCTTCGGAGCACGCAGCCGGGAGAAGGGAATTATAATTATTATATTCAGCCTAACGGCACAACGGCCACTGGCCGTAAAAGGCATGGATTTTTTTAGGAGGCATTACAGCCACACAAAGGGAATGCCGCTGGGAAATTCGAGGCATTATCAAATGCTTGTCAAATTGTGAATGAGAGACTGATGAAGTGTGTAGCCTGCCTTAAAATGTATAAAACATTGTGTGGAAGCCACAAGATGCTGAATGTGTTCATGTTAATTAACAGTAAATTACCATCAGATCTGCAGTTATTTTCTTGACAATCACTGGCTGACAAAATGTAATGACCGCCACAGCCCTAGTGACTACCAGAAACTTACTTTGAAACTTCATGTTGACACCATTGTCCTCAATAGCTGCCTGTTCCATAAAAACACTGCCAAGCAGGGAAGCACTCTGATACTTCCTCATCCTAATTGAAAAAGCAAACAGCAACATGTGATTTACTGTCAGCCAATAACACAGAATAAAGGCACTGTTCACCATTTTCAAAGAAGGCTAAGAGGCCCATTCATTTTCACAGAAGGCAGGGGGGCGAAATTTAAATTTTTAAATTTTAGTCATTTAGCAGAGGCTCTCATCCAAAGCGATTTAAAGTCAGTGCATTCATCTTAAGATAGCTAGGTGGGACAACCCGATATCACAGTCATAGTAAGTACATTTTTCCTCAATAAAGTAGCTATTAGCAAAGTCAGAGCTAGTAAGGGGGAAAACAATAAGTAAAGCGTGTTTTTTTCCGCACGTTGATAATGTTTGTTTATTTCGTTGCTATGATCACCTGCAGCTGTCGCATAGACTGTGGGCTCTCGCCCTAGTGACACTAGCTGCTTTGACTAGAGGGACAAGCCGTGTACTTGACGGGGTACTCTGCGATATCCCGCTGGTCGTCTGAAAAGCGCTTAACGTTACCTCCCAACGGCCGTAGGTCAGCAGGAACAGTGAGAAGGGCGTAGATGGCATATTGTACTCAGAATTATAGAACATCTCCACCTTGACCACGGGCGGTGAGACTGGCCTGGACCAGCGAATGACATCCTTGGTGCTCTGGCCCAGGTACATGTCCCAAACCCAGACCACGATCAGTCTCCGGCTACCGTAAGCGTCCACGTTCCAGATGAAGAACGGGAAAAAGGTGACGTAAAACGGCTCGTTGCACAGCTCGGTTCCGAAGGTTAACAGGTAATACAAAAACGTGTTCTTGATTAAAAACTCCTGCCCCGCATCGCCTGTCAGAGAGTTTGTGTGCAAGGGTTTGACAGTGCTCCTTGAAGGACTGGGGTCCTCAGGGGTCTCGGTGGTGCATTCCACTCTGGACCCGTTGACGCCACTTGAGCCGTTTTCTGTGAGGTCCTGTGCTCCAGCGAGGCGGCAAACGTTGCCGCTGTGCCCGGCCGTTGCCCCCGCAGCAGGAGTGACCACCGCTCCGTTCTGAGAAGCATCTACCCCTTCCTGTATCCAACTGTTACCAGGGGAGGTGGCTTTCTTCTGCTGAAGACTATCTGTGTTTTCCCCTTCTCCGCCTCCATTGACAATACATTTCTCACTTTCACCCTGGAGATTGCTAACGCCGTTGACGTTGTGCAAGTACCTCGCTCCACTCCTCTGATCTCCACTGGGTTCCTAGAAAACGTTCCGCGCACACCACAGATCTGCTGAAACCGTGCTACATGAATCGGGTCTTTGAGATAATTGCAGAGTTGTCCAAATTGCGTTATATTTTGTCATGTTGATTCTGATATAGAGCACTGTGTATTTACAATACATTATCGTTAACTAGCTAGTCAAGCAGCAGATCATGCATCATGGCACCATTAACTAGCTAGTCAAGTAGCATCTCTTGCATCATGGCCGTAACGTTAACTGCTCGGTTTAGCTATATAGCCAGTTCCCATAAAATAAACATGTTCAATGAGAGGAGCAAATAAATAAAAAATTCCAGGTTTTCCTGTCGAAGGCAGTGTGGGAAATTATTCTCTTATATTTTAGATGTGCTGTTAGCTTAATAAGAAAGCATTAATGATTAAACATAATAGGTTTGTGCTGTACTGATATAGACTGTTTAATATAACAAGCTGTGATTAATGTGAGGATTAGGGGGTAGGCCGAGACAGACTTGTGTCTCACATACACACACTGCCTCTTTGTTAGACCGCTCAAGGACAGGTGTACTGCAAAAGTGCTGACTCTCTGGACAAGTTGCAAAACAACAATGGCGCTGCCCATGCTGTCACAGATGCTATAGTGGCACAGATATAAAGATGAGTCCTCTATCTATCTCTATGGAGTAAACAGGTCAAATCATGGGTATTGACACAAGCTTATCTAATCGTTTTATCTTGTCCCTTTAAATAAATGTGCTTCCATAGAGTATAAAGATAGGCCTATGGATGAATGAAACATCATAATATCCATAAATTGTCAGAGGCCCTTTTCTATCATAGTCTGCCAGTGGATGCTCTGTAGCTGATTCACTCCAACATATGATGGCAGTGTCAACTTCCACTCTTTATTTGTTAGAAACAGATTGATGGTGTTACTTATGTATTTTGGCAAAATAGCTATCTTTAATGAGGAATATGTCAATTTTCTTCCAAATATACATTTCATACAGTAAAATAGCATAAATAACATTTTAGTCATTGTTGTTTGTTAGACATTTAACAATAACGGAGAAACAATCCTTACACTGAACACACTCAACTATTGGTACTCAAATACAGAAAAAATAAGACAATAGCAATTGATATTCACGTTGTTGCACAAATTTTAAAATAAAATAATAAAAACAAGTTAATGAACAGTCAAACTATTCATGAATAGGTTATTTACCTTTCTTTTTTTTAGGTAAAACCTTAACATTGTTTGCCTGCCCCATAAAACTGGGAAATCTAGATAAAAATATCAAAATTAGCTAGAAAAAACAGGGAATTGTTTGACATGAACATGATCAAAGAAACCCATATGACAATGTGCTGTTGCTGAGTCAAGTTAGTGATATTCCTCTAGCATGAGTAACAGTAACATTAGCACTAAACAGGGTTGTCTCTTTGAGAATCAAAATGATTTAGTCACATTAAAACTGGCACATTCAAGATGAGGCTGTGGAATGACCTACTGTTCTGTTTTATTTTTCTTGGCCTGAATACGTTAAACCTCAAAATAGAAAATATCAATATACACAACAGAGTAGATTGATGGTCACACAAGCATGCCAGGAGACATCCAGATCTCCAAACACAAACATTGGCTGTTTCTCTGGTGTAGAGGCCAACAAGATTTCATAGTTTCCTTTTGAAATTCAACGTATTATGGATGAACGTCTGTTTCAGGGTTAATTCCGCATGGTTACAGGGTTAAAACAGAAACAACTAAAATGGTTAAGTTTAGGTATTAATTCAGAGTGGTTAAGGTTAGGGCTATGGTTTGGGAAAGGCTTAAAACCCAATTATAAAAAACTACATGCTATTACCATCAAGTATCATCAGTATTCTCTGTATTCTCACAGCTTGCTAGGGCATTGTGAACTGCCATAGCACAGTGGTCTAAGCAGCGTGCTCCGGCTCCGAGCATCACGAGTTCGTGCTCAGCGATAATTTTTCTGTTTTTTGGTGAGTGCCGAGGAAGGCATGTATCAACGTTCTCAGGACCCTTTCAAATGTCCGAAATCGCAGTGTGTTTATAGTCATCAGTCTGCTAGAGGCAAGGTGCATTAGTTGTACAGTATGTACCCCTGAATATGCTCAAGGTTTACATGAGCAATAACCATTAAAACACATTTCTGCAAGGAATCTCTCTCTCACATCAGCATGTAAAGGCAGTGACGCTGTAACAAAAATGCCCTTTGAAGACCCTGATTCGGACTCTTGCTCTGTTGATCATATCAGAAATCACACAGGAGAAGCCGTAGCCTCCCATTTTGCATGTAGATAGCGTCAGACAGCAAGATGCAGAGTGCCGCTCTGAGTGAATAGGGGGTTCTGTCACCAAACCACTCCCTGCCAATTACTTCGATGTGCATGGTCCATCTCAATTTCTACCCGTACTTTGGCAGCAATTCACTAAGTCACCCATTATCGTCCAGTTTATAGAGCAGAACTTGTGCCCCGTGGCCAGGGGAGATGCTGGGAAATGTGCCCAGGCCGTAGAGGCATGTGGGGGAGGGGTAGGCCACCAGGTGGTAGTGTGGTATCTCCTTCAGCCCAAAGGACTGAGAGCAGCAGTCTGCCACCACCACCTTCACACGCTTCCTGTCAGGGTAGAGCAGCCGCTGGCTGCCTGGGCCCCTGTCACAGTTCCCCTGCCTCTCTTCTTCTTCTTCATCCTCCGCCTCACCCTCCTCCTCCTCATGGTGGATCTTCCTCAGCAGGTTGTTGATGAGCACTGAGCGTCGCAGGTAGGCTTCAGGGTCCTCCAAGAATCTCAGCTTCTCCAAGGAGAGCTTGAGGATGCAGTTGCGGTCCTCCTGACGTATCAGGTGCTAAGGAAACAGAGGTTGTGGTTATGAGACAGAAATCTAAGTCACATTTAAAGTGTCACGTCATAGGACAACAGATTGATGTCTGAACATGTAAACACAAACAAAGCAGTTCCTACTTTTGGAAAATATCCATGTAGGTCTCCATGTAAATCCTCCTCTTTCGCATATTTCCTCTTGAAGTAGGCAACTTTCGACGTTGTTGAATAGTTTAATCTCTCTTAGAGGGAATCGACTGCTTGAAACACAATAAGGAAAATTGCAATTACAGCCTTGATACATCTCTCCCTTTCAACACATTGGCAAGGAGAGATTATGTGGTTAGTGGAGTGACACAGAATTATATATACAGCCCCAGCAGGAGTGGTCATATCCACGATACATTACCTGATGGTAACAGCCCAGAGCCACAAATCCTCCTGATTGCTTGGGCCACTCTCTGAGCCACACACATTGCCTTCAGGGGCCTCTAGTGGAGGAGAATAATAGATAAGGAGAGAATTAGAGAGAGAGGTAGGAATAGAGACCGGAGAGAGACACCTGTTTTATTAAAAAGTCACACACAGAACATTTATTTTTCTGTATTTCATAACCGTAAAACATGGACTAGATATGATGCAAAATGTTAAAATGTGGGCTATGTTTTCTCATATTTCATCTCACTGCATAGGCTATTTATCATGGCCAGATTAAACAGATTACTTTTTTTTCATATCAAAACAGCTTTTGGTCTTGTTTCGGCAGCATGTGCTTTGTAGGCAGAGCTGAAATATTTACGGCCATTGCCATTTCCCCACACAAGGCTATTTACAAATAAATTGGGTTGAGTATGTGCGTGGGTAGTCAGTGTGTGTGTGTGTGTGTGTGTGTGTGTGTGTGTGTGTGTGTGTGTGTGTGTGTGTGTGTGTGTGTGTGTGTGTGTGTGTGTGTGTGTGTGTGTATGTGTGTGTGTGTGTGTGTGTGTGACAGAGAGAGATAGAGAACAGAGAGTTTCTGATATTGGACAAATTTGTGACTTTTCAGCTGAATGACACCGGCTATAAAACACGTTATTTTACTCCCTCTGCAGTTAGGCACGGTGGGACTGTAATATTCCTATTCAAGGTATCAAACAAAATATCTGTAACACAAATAATGCACTCACCTGCTTGGATGTGAGTAAAAAGAAAATGTTTTTGACTGACTGATCTGATGATGATCCCGATGATGCATGTCTTTAATGCTAATGATCTTATTCAGTTTATCTTATTGGAATCTCAGCTATTTGTAAGAATAACCCACACATTTGATCAAATATAACCTACATTAATTTGTAAAATTACCTTATGTCGATCTCCAACAGTTCATAAAGCACTTCAGCAAATCAGCAGTCCTTTCAGATGTAGGCAGCCTATGAAGGAAATTAGTTATTCTGGATGTGTCCTATGTGTGATCGTCCGTTGCTGCTACATTTACTGTCTGTGCCAATTATCCCCGCCACAAGATTTGCCTGAAGTTTGCGCTTCACACCCAGTCACTGTAGCTTCGTTTTAATACTCCCTTCAGAGTACGCAACACTTAGGATCTTAAAATATAATGTTATGTGAAACAAGTAACAACACCATACCCTCTGCAACCTCATTGGTCCTCACAGAAGCAGATGTTTCTGTTGCTAGGAGATTCACTAGGCAATGATGACGCTTCATCATCAGGCTCCATTATTCTCGTATTGTGCTCCTTGGTTTCCAAACCTCTCCCTCTCTCTACCTGGGTGTATGGGGAACCTATTGACTGGATGAGTAATTATTTGATGTTTGATTTAAATGTAAGCCTAACCTTTCTATTGTAGCCTACGGCTGCTATGATAGCCCAGATATGAGACAAACAGTCGTGGCCCATTAAACTTGGGCCTAACCTTTCTATTGTATGTAGGCCTAACCTTTCTATTGTAGCCTACGGCTGCTATGATAGCCCAGATATGAGACAAACAGTCGTGGCCCATTAAACTTGGCTTATGTACAAAACATAGATCTCTCTTTTTTCCCCCTAAAACCTGGAATTAACTAAATCAAGCATCTGCTGGATTTCATTTATCTCATCCAAAGAACACAAGATTCTAATCTTTTCTAATCCTGCCTCTGTGAGTTTGATGATTTCCTTAGTGTTC